CATCTTCCAAAGCTAATCCTATCCTATTATTGTTGACGTGGCTTTTCAGTTATAAACGGTACCCTAATCCCCAAAGCAAGCCAAGCCCTTGGCTTTTAAGTCCGTTCCAACTCCATCACCTACCCTGTATGAAGCGAGAAACGTGTAGCCAACCTTACAAGTTCTCACTTGTTATTGATTTCTCTTTCAACTAATTGTCTCCTTCATCTATTATCTCTTCCCTTTCTAGCTTCACACCATTCATCAACTCATCCTACTCGCTCATTGCTCACCCAGGCCTGCCCTAACCTTCAAATTCATCTCCCCTATGTGCTCTGGCTCCACCCACCGACATGGCAATGATCTGTTCCAAATACAGATTTGGCCATGGTCACTGACGGAGCAACACTGAAATGTCTCACTGGTTTTTGGGGTTTTTTAGGTGTTGGGTGTGTGTGTGTCAAAGAACAACAATCCCCACTGTGGTTCATCATGTCCTGTGGGGACTCACTCCTGCAGCCCTCACCAGCACCTCCCTCACTCCACCCCTCTGGCCTCCTCACTCCAGCACACTACAGCATCGCCTTCTTGGCTGAAGGCGCCCACTTCCTCCCTGCCCCACCCCCACCCCCAGCCCCCACACACCCATCCTGGCTCAGGCTGTTTCCTGTGCTGTTCCCGCTCACAGGAACAGCCTTCATTTCCCACCGGAAGGCTTCCGGGAGCCATTGCTTTGGTTCCCGTCATGCTTCCAAGCGGCATGCCCCTGGGTTCCAGCCCTTAACAACGTTGAAAGCTTCCTATTGTTGAGTCTACCTTTATCAGCTACATCCTTTTCGCCCCATCCCACCCCCTATCAACACATACACAGACATGTGCTACCATATTTTCATACAAATAACACATGTGTTATATAGTACTTGCAAATAGCACAATCCCCTCGTGTGTTCACTTCCTAGGAGTGCTATACGTGTTGTTGGATGTAGGCATGTTGTATGTGAAAAATACGGCATGTCTACAAATGCCTGGCCCACGGCAGCCATGCAGGGATTGCTTGAGGGGATGACGTGTGACTCTTTGTAGGTCAAGCGAATAGTAATCACAGTCTTCTAGGGTGATCAGAGTCTTTCCAGGAATTTTTATCAGTCCCCAGAGTTAGTGCTGTGAGCAGGTACTCAGTAAAGTTTCCCTCCATCAATGAGTGAATGCTCTACAACCAACACATCCTCCAACCCCAACTCAAAGAGACGCGGCGGCCACATGGTGGACACTGTGCTTGGAGAGGTCCACCTTCCCTTTGTGCTGGGAACGCGGTGAGCCTGTAGTGCCTGGAAATCATGTGTCTCCAAACTGGGCACTGAAGGCTAACCTGGGTGCTTCTCGGAACCAGCCCCTAATCGGGTCCACACTGCCAAACAGGTGGCTGGCGGGTCCCCTTGGGAAGTACAGGGTCACTGTGAGTTGGAATCAACATGGCAGCAACAAGCATGATGTTGGTTGACAGGTAGCCCTGAGCTGGGGTGAGCTGCCTTGTCTTTTCTCTCCTCAATGAGGGGGATTGGGTAAAAGCACCTCCAAGTCTTTGTAGGAGAAACCATGTGCCCCGAATGTTCTGGCACGCAGTAGGTGGGGGCTCCATAGCAATCAGTGGGTGAATATATGAAGCCAGCAGTGGGGCTTCCTCCCCTTTATGCCATTCAGTAATCACCTGTTAAGGAATCATCGTGAGGAGGCAGGCCCCTGCTGCACGCTGGGGTTGGAGAGACCTCGAAGACTTGCCATTCTCTAGAGGGACTGCACTAAACAGATCCCACTTGTTTACGTTGTAATGAGTTTGGGGAAAGTGTTCTGACCAAGGGAGCTCAAGTCTATTAAGGGACATGGGCTGCATGTGCAGCAGGGCTGGTTCGGAGGTTTGTAAACATGTGTGGGTCGGGGTAGTCAGAACTAAAGCTTGTGAGGCATCATTCTTCCTTCAACCTGGGTCTCAGCTGAGCTCTGGGAACACGTGGCTGAAAGACGAGAAAATGCAAATCGGCTCCCTGAGAACAAAGATGTGTGTGGAGACATCACTCTTCCAACCATCAGCTTTTAGTGAGCACTGATTACATGCCTAGAAGTCCACGTGTTGCAGTGGGTTAGGACTGGGCTGCTAACCGCAAAGTGAGCAGTTCAAGCCCACCAGCTGCTCTATGGGGGAGAGATGAGGGGGGAAGACTGTGAAAGATGTACAGTCTCAGAAACCTTTAGCAGCAGTCTACTCTGCCCTCTCTCTGAGAAGAGACTCAGTGACCGTGGGTGGCTTATATCTCAGGTTCTGTGCTAACATGGGAGGTGGGGGCAGCAAAGATAAAAGAGGCACATTCCTGCCCCTCAAGGAGCTGGCAGAAGACTGGTGGAGATGGCTGTGTAAAGAAATAACGAATAATACCGGTTCATCGTGGTAAGGAACACTGCGAGGTGTGTGCAAAGTGCTATCAGGATTTAGAATAGAGAGTGAGAAACAGGCCCAGGGGCACCGACAGCCCCAGAAGGAGCTTTAGACTGGTGCCAAAGGGACAGAAAGATAAGAAGGAGTCAAGAAGCAGGCGCTGTGCAGTTTAAGCTATAGCTGGCAGACCTGACCCCAGTAGGAACATGGAGAGCAAGAGAAAAAGTTTCACGTAAGGTGCCTACCCCTGGACCCATCTCCAGAAAGCTGCACTTAGATATCTCGAAAGGGAAGTGACCTCTGATCCCTGGACTACACATGGAGAGCCTGGGCTTGGCCATCTTTGGCTGTTTACTCTTGGTGGACCATTCAGTAGCCATCCCCACAGTTGTTTGGGGGCGTGATCGAGGGACTCAAAACCAAATAAATGCATGACTTTTACGAATGTGTCCAGTGAATTCCAACTCATCATGTGCTAGAGTTGCCTGGGGCCCGCAGAGCTTTCTTGGCCGTGGGCTTTACAGAAGCAGGCCCCACGCTTGTCTTTTGGGTGCTGCTGGGTTGAAGCTACAAACCATGTGCATTATCTAGGGAGGAGGAGACATAAACATTGAATTCAAATTTTTGGACCACTGAGACAAGCGTCAGAAGATATGTGGAATCCTGACCCTGAAGCTTATCGGCCATGCGATGAAATGGGAAAAATCAATATCTACCTTTCAAAATGTTTATGGGGGATGATTCCAGCTGGGTCCAGGAAGTCGCCCAACACAGGCTGAGCAAGTAGTGCCCAGGTCCCTCTGCCTGGAACTGAGGCTGTGAGCTCAGACCTGGTAGAATAGGAAGCATCAACCTACTCCATGTTGACCTCAAAGGGTCAGTTCCAAAAATGGAGCCTAATTGGATACGTCTTCTAAATCCTTTGATACACCAAATTGCTACACTACTATTAATTTCATGTAAGGGACAAAACCAAACAATTTTACTTTTTTAAATCTCTCATACTTTCATTGTGAGACCCTGACCTAAAGGTGTGATTCCTTGTCCTAGAGGGATGAAGGAGGAATAGAAATTGGTCCATGATATGATTTTTTTGTTCTTTGATGCCTGATA